ACGAGGGCTGGTTGGGTTCAAAGGGAGGGCCCAGGGAGTGGGTGACCCTGAAAGAGGCAGCAACGAAACCGTGCGGTTGCCAGCACACTTGAGAAGGTCCATGCTGGCAATGTTATGGGACCGGAGCACGGCCAGGCAGCCCCCCTGATTGCCTCCTTGACGCGGGGTGAGCCTCTGCAGCGCCAAACTCACAGCACGATCGCCGGCGACTGGCATCCCACCCCCCCTCTGGCCAGTCGTCGCCCCCAACCCCAGACCCCACGCCACCCGCCAGCCCTCACCGCGTCGACGATGCCGGAGGCCATGGAAGCCTCCAGCGCTATGAAGCCCGAGGCGTGGCCCATGAGCTTCACCACCGCGATGCCATGCCAGGTGGAGAGCGCCTCCACCTTGGCGGCAAACAGGGCGCGCTGGGCCTCATTCACCGCGGTCTCGAAGCCAAAGCACCTGTCCACCTGGCAGAGGGGGGAACGTGGAGGACGCAATGGTGTCGAGACCCGTGGCCTCCCCTTGCACAGTGAATTGCTGGGCACTCATGCCCAACTAGACTGCACAAGCGTCAACCGTGAGCAGCAGTCTCTGGCTGCAGACCCAGCTGCATTGCCATTGACCCCAGAGCTGCCACAGGACCTCGCCCCACACAGCCTCCCGCCCCACCAGCAGGATGCTGTTGTCGATGCTCTTGGGCACCCCCACCACCACGCAGCGCACGCCGTGCTGAGTCAGCAGGGCCTCGAGCTGGGTGGCGCCCATGTGGCCACCGGCGCCGCCGATGACAAACAGCATGTCCAGGCCCATCAGGTCAATCATCCTCACGATCTTGCTGAGGGGTTTGGGAGAGGTAGCGGAGGGGGAGCTCACACACAAGAGTGCTACAGACAGCTCGAGACAGGGAATGCACACAGTGGAGCATACCACAACCTCCAGGCTCCGACCCAGCCACACAAGCACCCCACACCGATAGTCGGGCGCAATGCTGGATGTGCCAAGGATGGAGCCGCCCTCCAGGTGGATGTCTTCCACGCTGCGCCCTGTCAGCACCACCGGGCGGTGCTTCTTGGAGTAGAAACCCTGGAACCCGTACCTGCCAAGGGGTCCGGGGTGTTGGTTGGTGTGAACCTCAATCCCAAGACTGATGCATGTTGACCAGGCCAAGCTCGCCGTCGCACCGCCTCCTACGCAAGCACACCAATCCCCCCTCCTCCAACCGCACACACCTGATGCCAAAGGTACTGCCCTCTGGGACCCCGTAATCCCGCAGCTTCCTGACCAGCCCCTGGATCACGTCATTCAGCCCCGGACACAAACCGCCCACCGTCACGACTGCACAGCAATCAAGGGGGACCCGGGAGTTTGATCCTGATGGAGGGGATTGACACTGGCCACCCAGGTCTCCCACACACCTCCCACTCCCCACTCCCCTGCGCCCTCACTCGCGGCCCGAGTCAACGACGGCTCAAAGTAGATGGACTCCCTCGGCCCCGCACGCATGCCCCAGGTGGGCAGGGGGATGCAGACGTCCTCCGCCTCCGCCTCGCCTCCGGAGGAGGTGGGGGGCACCACCAGCCCCGCCTTCTCCCCCAGGCCCGCCACGGGCGCCGAGCACCGCACGCGGTCGGCGCTGGGGGAGGAGGAGGAGAAGTAGATGGCGTTCAGCATCACGCGATCCTCGTCAGACACGAAGCGGCCGCTGAAGTGGCTGGATTCGTTGAATGGAGAGTGTCTGCAAGGGGGGAGTGGCGGGCCTGTTGCAGGAATCCTTGTTGGGGGTTCTCCCTGTAGGCCTGCATGGGGAAACCCTACCCCCCTTGGCCTCCATGCAGGGCCATTCCCCATCCTCGATCGCAACCCACCGGGATCTCAGGTGCGGACGCAGGGTGTTGCACTCCAGGACATCACTGGGACCAGGAAGGCTCTGGGTACCGGGACCCGCTCTGCATGCGACCTGGGCGGGAGGGGTTCCTGACTTGGAGAGCAAACCCCAGAGAGGTCTACTGGGGGGGATGAGAGCTGCATGGGGCCCGCACAGCAGGCGCATGATTTGTAATGGAAGTCGATTGTGTATAGAAGAAGGGTTAAGCGGGACATGCGTCGCCCTTGACAGTCTGCGGGCCTCCCAGTGCGGCCCCAGACGGAGGGCGCTCTCAGATACGAAATCATCCCTCCCGCCTCCGGCCAGAGGGTCCTGCCTGGGCCGTGCCCAACCTCATCCCCTCTCCCCCGCCAGCCAGCTATCCATTCGTATCGGCTCGCAATTCAGCCCAGCTGACCCGCACGGATCGCTGGTCTCGATTGGATTGCTGGAGGCTGCAGCTGGTCGGAGGGTGCAACCCACCCCTCCCCACCCCAGCCAGAAATCGAACCACTGCCCTGTTCCCACCCCAGCACCCCCGGCAGGCCCGGGATCTGAGTGCCTGTCATGCAGATCGCGGCCATACCGGTGGGCTGCGGGGGAGCATTGGGTCGGACCCTCCCCCGACCCTTCAGGGCCAGTCCCCGCCCTCGCCCCACCCACCCCGCGCATGCACCCCGCTGCCGCCGCACGGGCGGCGTTACCATGGCATCTGTGAAGGAGAGCCCTGCCACCAGCGAGCATAGCGTCACCGTGGAGACCACCGAGGAGGGGGCACTGATCTCGCTCACCTGCCCCAACCGTGCCGGTCAGTGATGGACTCCGAGCCGAGGGGGCATGCGCACCTGGTGCTGGGTCCAGGGGTGGCAGAACTGGACATGCAAGGCGCTGGACGGTGGGGCTGTCATGGGTGTGCTGCCCTGTTTATGTTGAGGGGAGGGGGAGGGGATTTTAGATCAGTGACCCAGCCCCATATGCTTGGTGCCCTCCCGTCCCGACCTCCCTTCCGGCAACCCCTCCTCCCCCGCGCCATCCTCATCCCAACCCTCCTTCACCCCCAGGCCTGCTGAGCCGGCTGACCTCGGCCTTCGAGGCGCTGGGCCTGGACGTGACCAAGGCCGACATCGGGGGCGATGCTCGCCACGCCCACGACCGCTTCTGGGTGGCCAAGCCCGGCGGCGGCGCCGTCACCCCCGCCGAGGCGGCCTCCATCAAGTTGACGCTTGAGGGGAGCGTGGCCGGGGCGGGGGCCCCCGCCGCGCCGCCCCCCGCCGCCAAGACCCGGCCGCTGTTGGCGGTGCCCGGGGCGGCGCGCGACCAGGCCCACCTCCTGCACACGCTGATGGACACGTACACGAGCGACAACGTGCTGGCCATCCAGCAGGCCATCGTGCACCATGTGGAGTACACCCTGGCCCAAACGCGGTACAAGTTTGATGACCTGGAGGCGTACATGGCCACGGCCTACTCCATCCGCGACCGCCTGATCGAGTCGTGGAACGACACCCAGAGCTATTTCAAGGAGGTGGACCCCAAGCGCGTGTACTACCTGTCCATGGAGTTCCTGATGGGGCGCAGCCTGCTCAACGCGCTGAACAACCTGGAGGTGCGGGGCCAGTACACGGAGGCGCTGGCCGAGCTTGGCTACTCGCTGGAGACGCTGGTGACGCAGGAGCGCGATGCGGCGCTGGGCAACGGCGGGCTGGGCCGCCTGGCGGCCTGCTTCCTGGACTCCATGGCCACCACCAACCTGCCCGCCTGGGGCTACGGCATCCGCTACCAGTACGGCATGTTCCGGCAGGTCCTGCGCGACGGCTTCCAGCACGAGCAGCCCGACTACTGGCTCAACTTTGGCAACCCCTGGGAGCTGGAGCGCTCCGCCTCCATCGCCTACCAGGTCTCCTTCTACGGCCACGTGTCGGTGCAGGACGACGGCGGGCGCCAGGCCTTTCGCTGGAACCCGGGGGAGCAGGTGACCGCGGTGGCCTACGACACCCCCATCCCCGGTTTCCAGACCAACAACACCAACAACCTGCGGCTGTGGGCGGCCAAGCCGGACCGCGAGTTCGACCTGCAGGCCTTCAACACGGGGGATTACGTGCAGGCCATCCTGGCCAAGCAGCGCGCCGAGACGCTGTCCTCAGTGCTGTACCCCGACGACCGCACCTATGAGGGCAAGGAGCTGCGGCTGAAGCAGCAGCACTTCTTCGTCTCCGCCACCGTGCAGGACGTGGTGCGGCGCTACCGCGAGCAACACGCCTCCTGGGACGCCTTCCCCGACAAGGTGGCCTTCCAGATGAACGACACCCACCCCACGCTGCTCGTCCCCGAGCTCATGCGCGTACTGATGGATCACGAGGGCCTTGGCTGGACGCGGGCCTGGGAGCTGGTGACCGAGACCTGCAACTTCACCAACCACACCATCCTGCCCGAGGCGCTGGAGCGCTGGCCGGTGGCCATGATGGAGAAGCTGCTGCCGCGCCACATGCAGATCATCTACGACATCAACTGGCGCTTCCTGCAGCAGATGCGCGGCCGCTACGGCGACGACTGGGACCGCATCTCCCGCATGTCCATCATCGAGGAGACCCCGGACGCCGACAAGTACGTGCGCATGGCCTACCTCGCCGTCATCGCCGCGCGCACCGTCAACGGCGTGGCCGCCATCCACAGCAACATCCTGCGCGACGACACCTTTGCCCCCTTCCACGAGCTGTTCCCGGGCAAGTTCCAGAACAAGACCAATGGCGTGACGCCGCGCCGCTGGCTTGCCTTCTGCAACGAGCCGCTGAGGGAGCTGCTCACCGACACCCTGGGCTCCGACGCCTGGATCAAGGACCTGGACCGACTCAAGGTGGGTGGTTGTTTTGCTTGTTGCTGTGTGTATGAGAGACTGTGTGCGCAGGTGTGTGTGTGTGTGTGTGTGTGTGAGTGAGTGTGTGTGTTATATAGGAGAGGGGATGGGTGGCACGCTGGTGGTTTAATCGCAACTCCCTCGGACCCACTTCACAAGTATCCAAAAGTAAATCCACAGGTGCTGCGCGAGCACGCGAGGGACCCGGCGCTGCAGAAGCGCTGGCAGGAGGTCAAGGCCCTGGCCAAGGACAAGGCGCTGAGCACCATCGAAAGGCTATCGGGCGTGGCACTGCCCAACCGCGAGGCCATGCTGGACGTGCAGGTGCATACGAGCAGGGCTGGGTGGGACGGGGAGGAGAACAGCACCAAGGGAAGGCAGGTGTCGTGAGGAGCCGCCTGGGTCTCGCCACTGTCCTGGGCATTGCCACCTCGGCAACAAATGCTTGCTGCCACGACGCCGATGAGTCTCTCTCCATCTGCAGCGCTGCCCTCCCCCTGGACCCGGATCGCCACTCACCACCGACACGCCCCACCACCACCACCCTGCACAGGTCAAGCGCATCCACGAGTACAAGCGCCAGCTGCTGAATGTGCTGGGCATCGTGCACCGCTATGACACCATCCGGAAGCTGCCGCGGGCGGAGAGGGGAGGCGTGGTCCCGCGCGTGTGCGTCATCGGGGGCAAGGCCGCGCCGGGGTATGAGATGGCCAAGCGCATCATCAAGCTCGTCTCCGCCGTGGCCGAGAAGGTGGGTGGTTCGCTTTGCTGGGGGGGGGGGAGCATGAGTGTGAGTTCAGGTGAGCATGGGGCTCCGACACCGTCAGGCACCCCCCCCGATTCGCTCCAGCCCGCAGGACGCCCATTGGCGCACAACCGACCACCCCGTTCCTCCCCCACATGCCCCTGTTTCGCAGGTCAACAATGACCTAGAGGTCGGCGACCTGCTCAAGGTTGCCTTTGTGCCCGACTACAATGTGTCGGTGGCGGAGGCCATCATCCCCGGCACGGAGCTCAGCGAGCACATCTCCACGGCGGGCACCGAGGCCTCGGGCACGGGGAACATGAAGTTTGCCATGAACGGCGCGCTCATCATCGGCACCATGGACGGCGCCAACATCGAGATCGCAGAGGTAAGGTTTGACGTCTTTTCAACAGGGGGTGATCGTGCTCGAGGCGCGGTCTCTTTGACAAGGGCTGCATGGACCGGCCACTGGGGGTTGGTCAGGCGAAGTGGGCGTCAAGTGCCGCTCCCAGCTCGCAAGCCTATGTGCTGGGCGCGGCCCTGCATGCACACTCAGGCCGCGTCTTCCCTTAGGGTCTCGCCCCTCAAACCACCGTGCAGGAAATCGGGGAGGACAACATCTTCATCTTTGGCGCCCGCGCAAGCGAGGTCGCAGGCCTACGCGCAGCCCGGGCCGAGTTCCAGGCAAGTTGTCAGAATGAAGAGTTGGATGGCAGCGCTCCCTGGGGGACTGTGTCCATGGTGCAGAGCGCCTTTTCACTGGACTCCAAGACTGGCTTGCGGTGAGCTCACCATCGCTCCCCACCCTCACCCATGAGATCTTCTGCAGCCGGACCCGCGCTTCCTGCACACGCTGGACCTGATCCGCAGTGGGACCTTTGGCTGGGAGGACTGTGAGTTTTGAGGCCGTTTCTGGACAAGGGGAAGGACGGGGGCTGTGGCAGGAATGCGGGGGGGCTTCGCTCTGAAGGGAATGGGGACTGCCCTGGCCACTCCTGTCTAGTCTCTCCCAGCTCAGGGACACACCAAACGCCACGCTCAACCTGCAGACTTTGTGCCGCTGCTGGACTCCATCACCTACTCGGACTACTACCTGGTTGCCAACGATTTCGGCCCCTACATCGAGGCCCAGGTGCGTGGAAAGTGGGGCCTCGCGCAAAATGTATGGTGGTGAGAGCGGCATGCGATTGTCGCCCAAGGCAGCCCTGCGTCACCCTGCCTCCCTTTCTCAACTTGGTGCAGGAGCGCGTGGACCGTGTATACCAGAAGCCTGAGGAGTGGACGGCCATGTCCATCAACAGCACGGCCGGGAGCGGTTTCTTCTCCTCCGACCGCACTATCCTGGAGTATGCCAAGTGAGATGGAGGGGATGTTGGAAGGGGAATCGGATTGCAGCCAGTGAGGTCAACAAGGGGAAGAGGGACGATGGTCAAGTGTCTAAACCGGCGGGCTCAGTCTCAGCCAGGCAGCGCTTGCCTCAGTTTTTTGGGTCAGATTGCCTGAAACATGGATTCCTGGCTCAGTACCCTACACCACAATGCCTCCTGTGCAGGGACATCTGGGGTGTGGAGCCGACCCCCGTGCCCAACCAGCGAGATGACTTTGACGATTAGTATGTTGCTTGCAGGGTCGAGCAAGAGCCGCGGCGAGGACGTCGCTGCCATGCCACCGACAGCTTGAGGCTTGTGTGCTTGATGTCGCTGTTGACGCGATGGAACTGGAGCCTCAGCGGGTGATACATGAAGGAAGGGATTCGGACACAGTGACAGCTGGAAGGGGGGAACCCACCCGAGTTCGCGCCCAGGGGACGGTGGGCAATCGCAGTGCACATTGAGACCTCTATGAGAGGCACAATGGACGAGGTCATTGCACCCAAGGTGTTGGGTACTGCCAAAGAGAGTGAGCGTCGACATCATCGACCGGATGTGATGCAAGACTGATCGGTCGAGCCGCTAGACGGAGCGTCCATGGCAGAGGGCCAGGCCCAGCCCGAGGTGTTCACGGACACGGTAAGGAGGCAGACTGCGGCGTTGTGATTGGTGTAAACCTTCATGCTCTGTCTCAGCAGTGTGACGTCACTCACCGCAGGATGGGGTCAGGCGCATGAAGGGAGTGAGCATAGTTGTCCCTGTCGTGACAGGCACCATCTCGTTCTGGCTGGCAAAGAAGGTCGGTGGCCCACGCACGCATTCCTGGGATGGCTGAGGTGTGCATTGACTTGCACCCCCTCCGTGCTCGTGCCGGGACAGCCCACCCAATTCCTGCTGGGCCCCGGCGCAGGCGACAGACCATGCTTCACACAAGTGGACGATCTATTTGCGCCATGCCAAGAACGAAGACCTCGCGCACCTGGTGTCCAAGGTTGGTTGCGGGGGGAGGGATGCTGGCTGGGTTACGACATGTGAAATGCACGTCGGTTCACATGCCAGTTGCACCGGCACTTCATGGCCTCCGCCATGACCCTCACCACCCCCCCAGGTCACATTTGGCCTGCACTCTTCCTTTGCTAATCCAAACCGGGATGTGGAGTACCAGCCCTTCGAGTTGACCGAGGTTGGGTGGGGCGAATTTGACATCACCATCAAGGTGCGGCAGGGCATGCCGCCGTCGGCGGGATTCTTTCGGGGCCTGTTGTCATCGGGCTCTTGGGGCAAATATCAATCGGAGCCATTCCTCAGGTGCGTGACCAACAGGGCAACATCCGCCTGACCAGATCCCCGGGACGTCATCCCACAAGAATTTTTCACCAGGGACCCCTGCCCTGCGATGCAGGTGCACTTCCGAGAGGATGTCAGGGAAGGACCTGTGGAGCTGTACCATCACCTCACCCTGTACGACGCCAGCGGGAGCAACAACGCCAAGCGTCCGGTGAGGCTCATGCCTGCTGGTGTTGGAACCCACCAGCCTGTTGGGGAAGAGATGTGTGGGGCCGGCTCCGGTGCCCTGGGCTGCATCTGGAGGGCACCTCAGCATTCTCCTGCCCCGTGGTGCAGCCAGCATGACCAGCATGTCACCCCCCCTTGGCCCTCTCCTTCACAGTCATTCGATGCCCTTTCTTCTCGTGCTGTACTCAGGTGGTGCACGAAGTTTATGATGAGATCGTGCTGTGGGAGCCGCCGGAGGAGGTGCATCGCCGCCTGGCCGCCCACACCCCCGCCCCCGCCCCGCAGTCCCAGCTGGCCCAGTTCCACACCCAGTTCAACCCGGACTACGAGTACCGCCGGCTGCAGCACGCTCGGCAGCGGGTGGCGGCCATCACCAACAATGTGAAGGTACAGCTGGCGGCACTGGAAAGCGCGGCCTAGCGGCAGCATGTGCGCAGCATGTGTTGCCCAGACTCTACGCCTCCCACCGACTCGAAAGCTTTGAGTGGAGGGCCAATGGTCCCATTTGGCCTGGGCCGTGCATGTGGATTCAGCTTGCATGCTGCATGGTCGAGAGGCCATCGCCTACTGGTACAAAGCCTGCCTCACAGTAAGAAACAGACGTGCTTGATCAGGCTGTCTTGTGTGTGGTGCACTCAGCGACCCACGCGAGGTAGCTGGCGCTGCCCCCGGAGATGGGCAGGGCCACCACCTCCGGCTCTACGTAAGGGTGGAGGGCTTTGACCCTGGCGGCCACGTCGGGGACCAGCATGCTCTGGGTCTTGATCACGAGCAGGTGCTCCTCGTCGCGCTCGACCTTGCCCTTCCACATGTAGACAGACTGAATGCCTGGGCGGGTGGTGCAGGAATGGATGGTATGAATCTTGGAGTGGATGCGCTGATGCAGCAGACAAGTGCGCCGTGCCAAGGTGAGTGTGCGGCTCCCAGCATGGGCCGTGGCACGCCGCAGGCTAGACTTGGAAGGCAGGATCCGACCCCCCAGCAGTAGGTCCCCAGGAATCCCAAACCCCACCTGGAATAATGTTGACGCATGCTGCCAGCCTGCCCTCCACCAGGGCGCCGGCTATCTGTTGGCCAACCTCCTCGCTGGGCACGGTCACATGCAGCATGCTCAGGGAAGGCCCTTCCAGCGTTGTCTCCGCCATGGCACGCAGTGCTGCAGCGTGATGTGGTTGCTGGCATGGGTGTCCTGGTGGGTATAGCTCACTTTGGGATTTTCGATCCGCATGCTGGGATCACACGCATAGCGCCATCGTCTACCTTGGCTGCGTTCGTGGACTCCCCTGTGCCAGGAGCGCGATGGAGACCTGTACTCCTGGATTGACTTGGGCAAAGTCGCGAATGAGGTCCTCCAGCACTGTAATCGTGTCAATGCTGGACGCATGCGCGCCCAGTGCTGCCTGCACGACGGCTGGAAGCGGAAGCGATGGCTCTATCGGAGGCTCGATTCTCCGCTGTGATGCTGCTTTGTTTCACTGATACGCCATCTCCTGTGCGATAAAATCGATCTACATGCCATGCTTTGAGTCTCTCGTCAAGCACATCATCGACGGTACGTTTATATGGCAGTAATATACCGTGTCTCACACACCAGCGCAGGGGCGGGGGGGATCGGCACATCTGAGGGTGTTGGTATCATAACCCAGTCTGTTGGAATTTTGACCGTCTCCAGGCAGCAATACCACTGGCCGACACAAATGGGTCATAACTCCTGATCACATAACCATTCTCCTCTCACATGATACCTATTGTATCTAGTGTAAACTTGCCTACACCTCATCAACAGAAAGAGAGCACAAAAGGAGGGGTAGAACCTCGGTATAGTGATGCAGGGCAAGACTGCCCAAAGAGACCAGGGTCATCAGGACGTTCAAGAACAGCTCACTCATGCTCTAGTGCTCATTCGTGGAGCCTGGCGGGATCATGTTTGTACACACCCTTTCAAGGCAGATGGGCTCCCAGGGTGGTGATAGGACTGCTCACTCCCGGATGCTCAGCTCAGTGGTGAGTGTAGGAGAGAGGAGGACCTGTGATGTTGCAAGAAATGGTGAAGATGATGTGGCTGAGCTTTGCCAAGAATGACATCATGCACTCCGACCAGGAGCAGGATCCCCGGGTCAACAGCAACCCATTCCCACCTCTCAACATCCAAACCCATGACCTCGTTGCCTTGCCTGGTCCAACACGTAGATAATGCTCTCGCAGTCGCTGGGGTTGTGGACAGCAATGATCCGGGCCGGGGGCCCATACCCAGAGGTGAGGTACGACCCGGAGGCCACAACATTTGGGTATGCAGGAATCTGTGCCTGAATGAGGAGGGGAGAGGGAGGGAGCATGGGCACGCTAGCTTGCAGGGACTAACTTGGCAGATGTGTTGGCCGACACAATGAAAAGCCAGGTCCCCCTACTTGCATATCAGGACCATTAAACTGCAATAAGCATAATGCCATCCAAGACCCCTGCACTCTGGCACACCGTGACGTTCACGCCCGGCTCCAGAGACTCCCAGGTAGCTCCAGTCACCAGATCACTCCCCGGGATGAGGCCCGGGAGCGTGTGAGCGGACAGGAGCTGCAGCGGGAAGGTGCAGTGAGGGATACTGGCGTGAGACGAGAGCCCCAGGATCAACCACAACTACCAGAAGCCTTCCAATCTCTGCAGCATCTCATGCAAGAACCCAGCTCACTGTCGTCAGCAGTTCTGTGTTGTTGAAAAGCTCACTGGGGGTGAGGTCGGCCTGTGGTAAGGAGGGTTGGTGAGACTAGGGTTTCTGAGGGGACCTGGACAAGCTCGGGAAACTGCAGCCCCGAGGTCCTTCCCCACCCCTTCCAATCAAGCACCGATCCTCCCGAGGCAGGCGCCGCCATCGCAGAAAACACGCAGACCGTAATCGCACCTCCAAGAGAAACTTTTGGAAGGCAACGTCGCTGGGTGCGAGCAGGGTGACTGAGGTCGTCGGAGTCTCCAAGGCTCCAGCCAGCTCTGCGGCCTGCGAGGCTCGGGGGAGCCCGTGGGTGCCATTGCAGCCTTGGCGACAGTCTACCATCCATGCATGGCATATCCAGAGAAGCATGCCTACCTGCAGGGCCTGAGACACCACCAGAAGACCGGAAAGGTTCTGGAGTTGTTCCACGACGCACGCCTGGATGGAGCCCACCAGCAGGATGCTCAAACAGAGCACAGCCGTTGCTGATCGGCCTTGGAATCCCATGATGCACTAGTAATGCGAGGCTCAGGCGTTAGATGTGGCCTGAAGTGCAGAAATGAGGCTGGGTGGACGGATCGAGTGGTCCCTGATCTGTCGCGGAGAGTGCCACTGACGGGCGGGGAAGGGATGTTTCTGTGGATTTGGAGTCCGTGCTGGATACAAAACAGGGAGGATTCAGGAGTGACTGGATACTGGAACGAGGTTTGTGCAGTTACCAGCAGGCAAGTACCTGGCAGACGATTCCCGAGTCGTGAACACGGGAAGCTCGCGCGCTGATGAGTCGTACTGGACTGACACCGTGCTGCCTCGCAGATCTCAGCATGCGCCAGCATCGAGATGAACATGGAAGCAGGAAAATCGCACGATGACAGTGTCATGCTCGTATAATCGACAACCTCGTCAGTTTCCCAGCTTGAATCGTGAGCATGCAACGGCAGCTCGCATCGCCTCGCTGACCAGGCTCTGTTTCTTTCAACCTCCTACATGTACAGCACATTCAGTGTAAAAGCGGTGCTCTGCTGCCTGCATCATGCCTGGTTGTGCATGCCCAGCGGTTCCGTCATGAGGGACCGGACGCGAGCCCATGCTGCCTCCGGAGTTCCCGCCTTTCTCCGCTGCCACCTAGATGCCGAGGACGGCTCCTCCTGGCCCTTCCCCGCGCCGTGCCAGGCCGGGCTCTGCAAGCTGGCCGGGGGTCGACGCAGAGGGGGTGTTGTTGTCCCGGCCTGATACCTGAAGCCCTCCAGCATGGGCGCATGCATGGGCCCCTGGTGTGCCCGAGCGGCGTTCTCTGCAGGGTTTGGTGACGTTTGAGGGGGGGGGGGGGCGAGAGTGGGGACGCCCTGGGACATGCGCACCCGAGTCCAGCAGTCGGGAACGACAGGGGTGGGCCACAGGCTGCGGCGATCCATGCGCACCATGTCCACACCCCTCCCATGGTGGGCCTTGCCCAGGATCCCCACAGCCTGCTCACCCACGGCCGCCCAGGCAGCCTCCTCGCCCTCGCTGTCCGACCACGCCTGCTCATCTATCCGCGCCCGTTTGGGCTGCCGCATCCCAGCACCGGCCTGCTGCGGCGGAATTGGGAGGGGGGGGGTGCCTCGGCGAAGGAAGGAAGGAGCACCGCTGGGGTCGAGACAGATGAAGTTCACGCACCCTGCCCGACAGCTTAGATGCATGGCAGGCCGACCATATCCGGGTACCCAAATCCCCCCCCACCCACCCCCCCACCCCCCCCGCCATGATCTCTCGGGCGCCCCACCATGGAGGGTGTGAGGGCGCGGATGTCCAGCGCAAACTCCTCCGCCTGCGCGCCGCCTGTCCGCATCCTGGCCAGGAAGGCGTCCGCCTGGTTGATGGCCGAGACCTGCGTTTGCGGGGGATGGAGGGGGAGAGGTGGATGGCAAAGGCTTAGGGTGGGGCCTGGGGGCGACTGTTCTGCAAGCTGTGGCGGCTGTCCTGAAGGAGGTCGGAGTTGGGGCACCATGGTGCGATCAGCGGGCCTCAGGCAACGTCAGCCTTGACCGCGGGGGGTGCAGTGCCGCCTGGCCCCGCCAGGTGGACCATGGGGCTCATCTGCCCTCCAAACAGCCCGGCGGCTTACAACTTGAGGGCCCAACTGTACACTCTGTGCTCACCACATGCTCTCCATACTGGCGCTTCATCTGCTCCGACACCCCGCTGATCACCATGGCCTGGAAGTCCTGGACTGTCCGCGGCGCGCAGGCCGCCAGCTGCGAGAGGTGTTTCGAGTGGAGGCGGTTGCGTGGGCGAGCGGTTGGGCGGGGTGGAGGCGCGGCATGGATGCACATGCTGCAGGCTGCCGCGACACCGCCACCAGCCTGCAGGCAGTAACTGCAGGACATGCGCTGGTGTCTGGAGGTGCAGTGCACGTCCCCGGCACACCACTTGCGATCCCACCCCCCCAACCCCCCACCGGCCGCTCTCACCGAGGCCTGCACGGCGCCGGTGAAGGGGCCCCGCGCCGAGTTGCGCTGGAGGCGCAGCGCGGCGTTCAGTTGGTGCAGCGCCGTCTTCATCAGCTGCGTGCGTACCGCCGTCTGTTAAGGAGTCATGTGGGAGGGAAGGGCGTGTGTAGGGAGTGGGTCCTGGGCCACGGCGCATGGTGCAGAGCCCCACTCACTATGTAGAAGCATTGGCCATCAGCATCCCGCCCAGAGCAAGAAGCCATGCCACTCACCGAGCCCCCCCCTCCCCCCCCCTCTTCCTTTCACCTCCTCGACGTCCAGGCACAGGTCGATGGGGTCGTCCTCCTCCTCCGCGCCGTGCTTTCTTGCCCGTCCCTGCCCCGCCCTGGCAATGGCCAGGGCGGAGCACACCGGCGCCGCCCGCTGGCCACCCTTGCGGTGTCCAGCCCCGCCCGCCCAGTCCTCTTGCAGCGGGTTGGCCGCCAGCGAGCGATCCAGCGCCAGCGTCGGCCGGGGCCCGGGCGCGGCGTCCTCGCCCCCCCCCCCCGTCCCCTCGCCCGAGCCTCTCCTGCCCTCGCCCGAGCCGCTCCTGGCCCCGCTGCTGCCGGGCCTGGGCTGCAGCACCGGCACCACAAGGGCCAGCCGGCCGGCCGCCAGGCGCGCGGCGGCTTCCTCGCACACGCTCAGCGTGGCCACCACCGCCATGTGCACTTCCTGCCGCGCCGTGCGCTCCAGGAGCAGGCCCTGGACCACCATGCGGCGGATGAGGCGCTCCGCCTCGCCGCCGTTCTTCAAGAAAGCGCGGCCGCAGCCGTGCGCCGCCAGGCCAACCAGGCCCGCGCGCCGGATGGCGGCGGTGTTGGCTCCGCGCACCGTGTCCACCAGCAGCGACATGGAGGCCGGGCCCACGGCTCGGCTGGCCTCCAGGACTGCAGGGTTGGTGGTTGCGGGGGAGGGGAAAGGGGTGCTGGAGATCTAGGGAAAGAGTGGGGGGTGGGTAAACGGCGTATGCCTGGTGGCAGGGGTATCTGCTTGGATGGTGGGGCGGTTTGAGGAGGGACCAAGAGTGACCCCGTCCACAGGAGGGGCAGTCGCTGCTCAGGAAGTGCTTTGAAATCTGAAGGGTGAGACCGGGCAGCTCCAGCATCGATCCAGCAAGGGAGAAGCGTGAGACCCGCCAGGCCCCGATCCCACCGCACCCTTGGCCGCGGCCTCCGACTGGTCCTCGTACACATAGGATTGCGTGGCGCTGCGCGCGCAGTTGTCGCACGTCCCGCCGCACTGCGTGACGGCAGGGCGATGGATGTGTGTGGGGCTCAGGGTGGCCACAGGCAAGGATGATGTAGGGAGGCAGAGCATTGGGCTACGCAGCCAACCCCAATTGGGGGTTGCTGTTGAGGGGCCAGGCCTCTGTGCACTATGCACTGCTCCTGGCCCCAGAACTCTGCAGTCTATGGGCATCCCGGCTGTGTCATGAAGACCCGCCCTTGCCCCACAAGGTTCCCGCAGCCACTCCACCTTGCTCTTATCAAAGCTGTGCTCCCCAAAGTGATGCAGCATGAGCACCCTGCGGCACTCGACCTGCTCCTCGCAGTACGCAACCTGCGCAGGGAGGGGCAGGCAGGCGGGGAAGATGGGCGGGCAGAGGCCAGGGCGCGGCAACAGCTATTATTGAAGGGCTTGGAGTCCATCGCAAGGATAGCATTGCAAGCCGCCGTCCTGGGGGTCACTTCAAATACCCCTGCCGTTCCAACCCCCAGCCCTGCCCCTGAAAAGCCTCGGCCACCCACCATGGCATTCAGGGACTCCTCGTTGCTTTTCAGCTGCTCCAGCGGCGACCTGTTCTCCTCTGCAGATTGGCGCAGCATGTGTCGCGATTTTGCTGCGTCAGCATATGAGTAGTACAGCAGGCAGGTGGCGGGGCGGCCGTCCCTCCCAGCCCTCCCGCTCTCCTGGCGAGGTTGGCGGGGAGCGGGTGGGGTGAGAGCGGCGAGCCCAAGCGTTTGGGTGGATACACCTTGATCACAGCTGCAGACAGGACATGTGCTACTGCCCAGCACACGCTGTCCCTTCCCCAAACATCCCAGCGCACCTGGAGGTACCCCTCCAGGGATTTGGGCAGGCTGAAGTGGATCACGAACCGAACGTCGGCCTTGTTGATGCCTGGAAAGTGCATTGGGTGTTGTGCGTGGGGTGGAGGCAGCACGCTGACTGCGGTAGCTTGTAGATGGCATCATCCATCATCATGCAACGAGTAAAAGTGGGCCCAGCATCTGCACCACCATGATACATGCGCAGCCACCACGCCCCATCTTCAGTTGTTGAGCATGAAGAACCAGCCTCGCTCATCACACACAGGTCCATGAAGCTGGTCAATCCCTCAGCCTGCCTCCCTGGCCATGCCACCCACCCATCCCGAAGGCTATGGTCGCAACGATCAGCGCCACCTCTCCATTAGTCCACTCGGACTGGACGTTCTCACGCTCCTCTGCCGTCAGGCTGCCATGGTAGTGCCTGCAGGGGAGCGGGGCGAGGTGTACCCCTGGCTGAGACGCACGAGGAGGATCTGTGCCACGCGTTTTCAGGACAGTTCAGGGCACATTGTATAGGGTGCTGCCCCCAACCCCTCCCCAGGCACACTCTTGTGCAGGCAGGTGGTACCTGACACGGCGGCGCCCACCCCCCAGGGGGAACAGCAGCTCCCCTAGCTTCCGCTGCGCATTTAAGGAAGATCAGTAGCGAGGAATGAGCAGGTGTGTGACGCAGTCCGTGCACTACTGATGCCAAGTCCGTGCTCCTGTTTTGCCAGGTTCCACCAGGGGCCCTCTGCAGCCTCGTGAGGACAGAGGTGGGCACAAACGTCCAGACGGCCGTGCCCAATCCCTCCTCACCCCCCTACCTCCAGTTTGTCAGCCACACTCTCACACTCATTGCGCGTGAGGCAGTAGACGATGCCGCACTGCGTGCAGGTAGGGCGGGGCGGGTGGAATTGCGCCAGATACCCATGCTCTCTGCCAGATGCACCCACACAGCGCCAGCCGGAAGCAGGCTCGGGTGGCTCACGCCCGGTCCTTGGGCCTGCCAGTCGCCCAGCCGCCTGCAATACAAGCCTTCCAAAGCCACAGACCTGCATGCGCCAGGCCCTTTTGGACGTCCCCACTTTCTCGGTGTAGTTCTTCACGATGGAGGTGGCGATCTCGTCGCAGCAGGTGTCCACCTTCTTCTTCTTCACCACCTCGTACCTGCCAAGGGGGTGGCTGCCAGTGGGCGGGCGGGGCATGCATGCCTACTCGGGTTCACTGGCCTGGCACCGCAGCCCTGCAACGTGGCACAATCGTCCCCTCACCCAGTTCCCCGTCCCACCTCAGGTTGGGCCGGTTGAAGGAGTTGGTGAACATGAGGCAGGAGTGTATGCCCAGCTGTGCCACCACATCATGCTGCACCCGGGGCGTGGCCGTGGCTGTGAGAGCCATGAGCGGCACGCTGGGGTACCTGGAAAGGTGGGGGGGGTGGGAATGATGATGTGGGGGAAATGGACAGGTGTTGGTGAAATGGAGTCTGGATGGAACCTTGCACAGCAACCCTCGACTTGTCCCAATCCCGTGCTCGTCTGGATGCTTGATGCTGTCCTTGCCACATCCCAAACGCTCCCCGGGACACGACCGAGGCAGCCCAGCCTACTAGCACCCCTCCCTCCCACTTTTGCTTGAAGAAGCTGAGGCGCGTGTAGTCCTTGCGGAAGTCTGCGGGGGCGACGGGTGGCGTGGGTGGGATCGTGTGCTCATGGGCCAGCTTCGCAGGGTCCCCTCCCCATCGCGCCTTGCCCCCCGTCCAGCCACTTTCAGCAGTCATGGGACCCCCCCGGCCGCACCGTGCCCCCATTGACTGACGCAGTGGGCCTCGTCGATGACGACGCGGGCCAGGCAGCCCCGCTGGTGCAGCTGGTCCAGGGTGGCCTGCAGCCGCCCGGAGGCCGCCAGCTTCTCGGGTGTGATGAACAGGACCTTGGAGGCCTCGGGGTCGCGTGTCATGTCGTCGTACACCGCGCGCTGCTCCTCCCAGCCCATGGACCCGCCCAGGCAGACGGCGGGGATGCCCAGCACGCCCAGGTGGTACACCTGGTCCTGAATGAGGGAGACCAGGGGCGACACCACTATGGTGATCCCGGTGGACAGCACGGCCGGGAGCTGGTAGCACAGCGACTTGCCGCCGCCTGTGCGGGGGATCAGGTGGAGGTGCAATTAGAAGGGGGGGAGCGTGAGTGGGACCAGGCATGTAAAGTGTGCGGATGTCTTTCCGGCTCGAGCCACATCACTCAAAGGTCAGCGAGTGCTACCACTCATATTCCCAGCGGCAGGTCCCGCCTCTGCTGGGCTTGCCCTCGCTTCGTGGCATCCCAGCAGCCTCCAAGTGCAGCCGGCATGCCCCATCCACCAATGAACGCTCATCAACGTGCCTGTGGGCATGAGGACGAATACGTCCTTTCCCGCCAGGCTGGCGTTCATGATGGCAAGCTGGTTGTGGCGGAACCCCGAATTGCCAAACCGCGTGGTGTTCAGGGACCGGAGCTCCCGGCTCCAGGCAAAGGTCTCGCCACGCCATGAGGCGTCGTGCGTCGCGTCCACACGCTCTCCCGCCGCCTGCCGCGCCAGGGCCTTGTCCGGCGTCCAGGCCGGCGGCTGGGGTGGGGCGCCGCCCTCCTCCCAGCCCAGCGAGGCGCCTTGGTGGCTGTAGCTGTTTGTGAGGGGAGGGGGAGCTGTACCGGGGCCCTGGACCCAGGAGCTGGCTCGGTACGGCGCGGCCTGCACCGTCGGTGCCGAGGCGCGGGAGGTCTGCTGCCATGGAGGGCCGCCGGTTGGGTTGCCACCCTCGGGGAACTGGGAGGCCGGGCCGGGGCCTCCCAAGGGCTGGGGCCTGGTAGCGGCGTCCGTGCCAGATCTGGACTCCCCTGGCTGTGCGAGCAGCGCAGACTTCTCCTCGCGGAGGCGCCGGCTCTCCGCCATCACAGTCGCCAGCGCCCCGGGGTCGCCCTCGGCGTCCAGCATCTTCTCGGCCGCAGCCGCCAGGGCCGCGGAGACGGCCGCAAGCCGGCGGGCACGCTCCGGCTCCGACAGAGCCTGGGGTGCTGGTGGCGGCGGCGGCGGGGCAGGGCGTGCACGTGCCTGTTCTGGGGGATTGTGTGCTGGCCAGCTGCTGGGCGGTGCCTCCTGGGCAAGCCCCGTGGACTGCCCTGTGATCAGGCCGTCCACATCGATCCCCTCGAAAAAGGCATCGTCGTCGTCCTCCATCTGTGTGGGGATGGGTTCTGCATGCTTTGGAGGCTGACAGACCGCGGGAGGGCAGCTGGGCGGGTGTTGCGCAGGCCGGGTGGGCCGCTGGGGGCATGGGCCGGGTTCAGCCTGCGACCTGCAACAGGGGAAGGGAAGGGGCTGTTTGCTGTCCGCGGCGATCAAAGAAAGTTTCACCCCGTCGATGCCAGTCTGTACTTCGATAAGCCCCGCCCCGGAGGCGAAATGTACCTGGGTACGAATGGCTTGTAGACCGCATGAGCTGGCTTACTCACGGGCCGGAGGAGTTCCAGTGTTCGCTGAGCCTCGCTCTCCGATGCAACACGAGGGCAGCCATAGCCTCTACGATTAGAACGAACTTAAGTTCATCGGCATGCGTGCAGGCATTCATGCAAGCATATAGGAAACACAGCAAGGTCCATCGGCGAGTCACTCACCTCGAGTAGGTGTCGGGAGGCCTCTGATGAGGCAGCGCATACAAGAAACCTGCCAGGAGGGGGGAGCATGTGCCTGTCATTACTATTTCGAGGTTCGCGGAAGTGCATCATGCGCAAGCGTGGGTCTCTATATTCAGCTGCCGGAAATGATTTCGAGCGAGGGCCGTGCTGCGTCGGTGCCCCGCATGAACGCTGGGTCTTTTAAGTGGTTTCTTTCACTGGCCTTACAGCTCCACCAGGTGGGACCCCAACCTTCCCTTGCTACCAGAAACGAAAAAATACTCTTTTCATGCAGGTAAATGGCGCAGGTTACACACAGTCATGAACAACACGATACTGGGCGAGTAGTCAGGTGGGGGAGGTGTCAAGAGTCAGGGGTGGCCAGGCACCGTGTTTCAGGCTGGGCACTAGGCCGCGTCTCAGCGCCAGACGAGCCATTATCTGTATACAGAGGCCTGTGAGGGCATGGTTTAGATGATGGGAAGCAGACCCTCCTTCTTGCCCTGCTTGTTGGTCACCAGGGACTTGTGGATGTGGGGAATGACACCACCACCAGCAATAGTGGCCTTGATCAGGGTGTCCAGCTGTGGGAGGTCAGGTGGAGAGTGTGGGTGCTGAGAGCATGGGAGGGCAGAGGATGCAGCAAGTCTAGCATACACAATATTCTGAGAGGCAGCTGCAACTAGGCAAAACATGGAACAGAACCGATCCCCCACGCACCTCCTCATCGCCACGAATGGCCAGCTGCAAGTGACGGGGGGTGATACGCTTCACCTTCAGGTCCTTGGAGGCGTTTCCTGCCAACTCCAGCACCTCTGTGATGGTGTGGTGGGGGACAGAAATGTAAGTTGAGTGTTGCAGACGCAGAAGTCGCTGGGCCTTTCCCTGAAATTTTGAACCTGGCGCCCAGCTGTCACCTACCAGCAGTCAGGTACTCCAGGATGGCGGCAGCGTACACAGCGGCAGTGGCTCCCACACGGCCGTTGGCCGTGGCACGGGACTTGAGCAGACGGTGCACACGACCCACGGGGAACTGCAGACCTGTCGGGGGGCAGAAGGGGGTTGGTTAGATGTGTGTACCGTTGCCGCGATCCCGCGCCGCAAACGCTTTTCAGATTACAAGAAGGATGTAGAATATCCGAGTAAGGAGTGCCCTGGCCTGCTGTCGGCGTACCTGCCCTGGCAGACCGCGAGATGGGCTTCTTCTTGTCTCCGCCCTTGATGCCTCCGAGGGTGCCCTTGGCTCCCTTTCCGGACAGTCCCTTGGCTCCTTTTCCACTCATGATGGCAGGTTTCTGCGGGGAGTGGGGCGCGAGGTGCGTTGGCAGGCAGCAGCTCGTCGCGGCAACGGAGTCCGGGCCGGGTCGTGAGTCGCGGAACTGAAGCACCGAGACAGCCTTCACACCTGTTGATTAACTACTCTGCAAAGGGTGTGGAGTGGATGATGGGAGAATGCTGGAGCGTCCGGTATTTTTAGTCCCTTTGAAAACGCAGATCGATCGTCCGTTGGGGGGTCATCCCGTCCCGGGTCGATGCAGGGTCGTCCCCCACCATTGAATCGAGAGGACGGGCATGCCCCGCTAAATGAATCGCTTTCCAGCCCATGCGTCTGCGCAAAAGCTCTGAACTCCTCACACATACCCGAGATGTGTGCAAGACCTGGCCCTTCGCCCCGCTTGCGCCCTACCTGCCGACCCATTGTTAACAACGGAGGCAGCACCAGGCCAGCATCAGCACAGCGCCAGCACGGCACGCACGTGCTGCTGCAGCGCCCCCAGGTCCTCATTATCCCTCTCCGAGGCCACCAGGAGGTCCTTCAGGACCGTGCCCAGCCCCCCCGCGTGCGCCGCGCGCGCCCCCGCCGCGGCCAGCACGGCCGGGGGCAGGGCGGCCATGCGCGCGACATTGAGCCCGAAGGAGGCGGTGGCGGCCCCCGGCTCCAGGCGATGCAGGAAGGCGACGCTGGGTGGCGTGCCCCCCCGTTCCAGGACCGCCATGCGCCCCAGCCGGACCGCAACCCGCAGGCCCTCCTCCCGCGCGGCCGCGGCGGGGACCTCGGGGTAGTGCGTCACGAACAGCGTCAGGCAGCGCGTGCGTGTCGCCAGGTGCTCCAGCGTGGCCTGGGCCAGCGCCACGCCGTCCTCCGTGCTGGTCCCGCGCCCCTGCAAGCAGCGGAGACGATGTGCGGGGTGGGGTACCGGGGGTGGTGGGGTGGGTGGCAAAGGACTTACTGCAGGGCCCGGGGGGGGTGGGGGGGTGGGGTGGGGGGTCGCTTCAATCTGTTGCAAGCACCCTGCAACACGACTCCCCTTCCCTTGATCACACCAGCTCGTCAAGGATGACCAGGGAGGCCGGCGTGGCCTGGCTCAGGATGGCCGACGCCTCCCTGCGGGGTGATTGATTGGGGAGGGAGGCTGAGGAGAGGAAGGCTCCGGTGCGGGCCTGAAGGGCTGACGAGGCTGGGGTTTGGAGCCACACACCGATGCACACCCGCCCTGCCCCAGCCACTCGAACATTATGCGCCCCGCTCCCTGGTTTCTTGTCCTCACCCAACCTACCCCCCCCCCCCCCCCCCCCCCAACCAAC